CTGTCTCAAAAAGACCTAAATAAATAAATAAATAAATAAATAAATAAATAAATAAATAAATGGATGAAGTGATATCTCAGTGCTTTTGCAGAGGACCCCAGTTCAGTTCCCAGCACCCACGTTTGGTGGCTCACAACCACCTGTAACTCCAGTTCCTCTCTTCTGTTCTCAGGAGCCTACACACACGTGACACATCCTTACACAAACATACACACTTGTGAATAAAAATGAAAGCTACAAAATATTAAAATTAAGAATAAAGTCAGTTTTGGCCAGGCCTGGTGGTACTTGTGAGAGACCTGAGTGACTCCATCTTGGATAAAACCTCCATAGGACTGACCCAGCCCTGGGCCCTGTTCCAAGAAAAACCACAATACTTGGAACCGATAGAGAACAACTCCCCCGCCAACCGTCAGTTAACCAGGGACAGGAAGGTACTAAAAGTCCAGATATCTTTTCAGATTTCCTGAAGCCAGCAGTTTATGGTTTGGCACTGAGCTGCAACCAATCAGAGGCTTGCCAGGATGAAGACCTCCTACTCCCCTACTTGCTGAACTTAACCTATAAAAACCTCTGTCTCCCAAAGCAAGGGGTCTCACGTCTGAGATCCGCTGAGTTGGTGACAGAGTGGACCCAAGCTTAAGCTTGCAACAATAAAAGAGCCCTTGTGTGTTTGCATCGGTTGGCTCCTTGGTGGTCTCTGGGGTCTTGTAAACTGGGCACATCTTGGGGGCTTGTCCAGGATCCTCAAGACCCCCCAAACCAGAGGGTTCTTGGCCGGCTGGTAAGTGTCTGTTTGTTTCTAGTTGTACCTGTCTGTGTCTGTCCTAGCTTCTGTTCTGAGCCTCGAGGCAAACTTGTGAACAGAGTGGTCAGGAGCGGTTGGAGCGGATGCGCTGGATGACCCTGACCACAAAGGTCTGGAAGATGTTCCAGACCCCGGCAGAGGGGGCAGAGGGCCCCAGACCCTGTTGATTTCTGTGAAAGGACAAGGTTGGTTGCTCCTGTAGCACAGCAGTTCACCACTGTCCTACTTTCAGTTTTTCTTCCGCATGAGCAGGGGAATTTGGTACTTGGCCTTCTGCATGTCTTTCTGGCTCTCTGTTTTGTCTTTGGTTGTCTATTTCTCTGTGACTGAGACGGATGCAATGGGACAGACTCCCTCTACTCCCCTGGACCTGGTTCTTTCACATTTTGGAGAGGTTAAGACTCGAGCCCATAACCTGTTGTCAGGAAGGATAAACTACTTTCTGCAGGTCTGAATGGCCCACTTTCAACGTGGGATGACCCTTGGAGGGGACCTTTGATCCTGCTATCATTAACTTGGTTGAGAAAATTATTCTTCAACCATGTGTAGGACACTTGGATCAAATATCATACATAGTGGTCTGGGGATATTTAGTTAATAGCCCCCCCTCCTTGGGTCAAGTCTTTTCTTCCTTTACAGAAAACTGAGGTGCTGATGGCTGCAGAATGGAAAATGAAAACCCAGAAAACACCTAAACCTGAAAACAAACCATCAGTACCATCACTGTACCCTGTCTTATGGGCAGCACAGAAGAAGATCTAATTTTTCCTCCCCCAACCCAGAAAGCACCTAAGCCTGAAACCAAACCATCAGTACTGTCACTGTACCCTGTCTTACAGGGCAGCACAGAAGATCTAATTTTTCCTCCCCCTCCCTATCCACCTCCTCCACAGGAGGTACCCCCTCCAGAACCAGCACCCTTGGTACCAGGTTCTTCACAGGCACAGGGGGGACTGGCTCAGGGGACTAGGAGTAGAAGGACAGCAACACCAGAGGGTCCAGACTCTACTGTTCTACCCCTCAGTTGCCGGCCCCACGGATGAGGCTAGCAACCAGCCCCATCACTATTGGTCATTCGCCACTAGTGACCTTTACAACTGGAGAACCCAGAATGCTCCCTTTTCTGAAAATCCTAAGGAGCTTATTAATTTATTAGAAACTGTCTTATTCACACGCCAACCCACTTGGGATGATTGTCATCAATTATTACAGGTCCTGTTTACCACAGAGGAAAGGGAACGTATCCAAACAGAAGCCAGGAAGTTAATTCCTGGCAATACTGGTGTCCCTACTACTGACCCAACACTGACTGATACTGCCTATCCACTGACCCTGGCCTGATTGGGATTATAATACTGCAGAAGGTAAGGGGAGGTTTCTGGTTTACCACCAGGCTCTGTTGGCAGGTCTCAAAGCGGCTGCTCGTGGGCCAACTAATTTGGCAAAGGTATACGTTATTAGTCAGGAACTAAATGAAAGCCCAGCAGCGTTCTTGGAGTGAATAACAGATGCCTTCCGCAAGTACACTCCATTAGACCTGGAGGCCATAGATAATATAGTGGCAGTGGCCATGGCTTTTGTTAACCAGTCAGCTCCAGATATAAAGAAAAAGCTCCAAAGAGTAGAGAGACTGGGTGAAAAGACCTTAAGGGATTTAATAACTGTGGCCAAGAAAGTGTACAATAGGGATAGTGCAGAGAAAAAAAACAGATAAAGGCAGAAAGAAGGCAGAATAAGGACCTGGCAAGGATCCTGCTGACTGCCACTGCAGATCCAGAGGACCGGCGGAGGTGTCTGAGACAGCATTGGGGAAAGGAGTCTCTTACAGTATGTGGATGACCTACTTGTGGTGACAGACAGCCAAGAGGCTTGCATGGACGGCACAGAATGCCTGTTGCAGATGTTGGGAAGCCTGGGCTATCAGGCCTCTGCTAAAAAGGCCCAACTATGCAAACAACAGGTCCAATACTTGGACTATATACTCAAAGAAGCACTACTGGTAAAAGATGCTGACAAACTGACTTTGGGCCAGAACTTGACCATCACCACACCACATGCAATTGAAGGAGTTTTAAAGCAGCCCCCAGACAGATGGCTAAGTAACGCCCGTATAATCCATTATCAGGCATTACTTCTTAATCCTGCTAGGATCACCTTCCAGGTACCAGCTGCCCTGAATCCAGCCACAATCTTGCCAGACCCAGACTTGGATGGCCCCCTGCATGATTGTGCTAGAATCCTGGCCCATGTCCACAGATTTGAGAGATACCCCATTAACTGATGCTGAAGTAACCTGGTTCACTGATGTGAGCAGTTTTGTCCAGGATGGCAATAGGTATGCAGGGGTGGCTGTATTATCATTAACCGGCATCATTTGGGCAGAGCCTCTGCCCACGGGCACTTCAGCCCAAAAGGCTGAACTTATTGCCCTAACTAAGGCACTGGTATTGGGAAGGGACAAAAAGCTTACTGTGTATACAGACAGCCGATATGCCTTTGCCACCGTGCATGTTCCTGGGGCAATATATCAGGAACAGGGCTTATTAACGGCAGAGGGAAAGATGGTCAAAAATAAAGAAAAAATCCTAAGATTGCTGAAGGCTCTCTGGCTGCCAAAGAAATTGGCAATTATCCACTGCCCAGGTCATCACAAAGGGGACGATCCGATTTCCCAAGGAAACAATTGAGCGAATCAGGCTGCTAAACAAGCTGCCCTCCAAACTGACTCAATCTTGGTCACCACACTAATTGATCCAGGTGACCCAAACCTCCCCGAAAAGCCCAAGTACACCGGGGAGGAACTGAAATGGATAAAGGGACTACCGAGGACCCAATGCCTGGAAGGATGGTGGAGGTCAGCAGAAGGGAAGCTGATCCTCCTGGAAAAATTAGGAAAACAAATGTTGGCAAAAATACACCATTCTTCCCACATGGACATCAAGAGGATGCAGGACTTAATTTG